TAGGAATTTCCATTGAGTGTTGCAGCACTTACAACCTCAGTCCGGCCTACACTTGGGTAGGGCTTTATTTTGTTATATCAGTCGTGTATAAAAACATGCTTTTATTACTAACGATTTATATGGAGCGTAATACATCAAAATTTTATTGATAGTACTTTTTGAGATGTTCCGCATTCCAGGGATGTTGTAGGGGTCTTTCTTCCATGTCTTCTAATTCGTAGGCCCCTTTGAGTAATACTTTAGTCACTTTATAAGGGCCTTCCCAGTTAGGTCCTAGAGATCCGGAGTTAAGTTCTCTTGTAGCCGTGAAGACTTCTCTAAATACAAGGTCATCAACTTCAAATTCTCATGTCTTTACTTTTTTGTTGTAGTACCTCGCATTACGTTGTTTGTATACCTCATTCTCATCTCCGCCGTATTCCTTTTCTCTTCAATTAAATTCAACTCTTCTTGGAGTATTTTTTTCGTTGGTATTTTCGTTGTAGGTTAAAGTCCGAACTGAAGGGATTTCGACCTCGAGCGGGATAATAGCTTCTACTCCGAAGGCTAAGGAGAAAGGAGTTTCTCCAGTACTGTTTCTGGATGTAGTACGATAGGACCATAGTACACCAGGAAGTTCTTCCGCCCATCTTCCTTTAAGATTATCAAGCTTTGCTTTCAGCGTATGCTTGATAATCTTATTGATAGCTTCCACTTGGCCATTAGCCTGAAGGTGATTTGGCGTGGAGAAATGTTTTTGTATTCCAAGTTCTTCACAAAATTTCGCAAGGCGAGCATTGTCGAACTGTTTCCCGTTATCTGACACGATGGAGTGGGGTATTCTGAACCTGTATATGATTGATTTCCATATGAATTTTGTAGTTTTGTGCTCAGTTATTTTGGCGAATGGTTCAGCTTCGGCCCATTTGGTAAAGTAATTGACTGCCACAATTGCGAATTTGGTGCCTCCTTTTCCAGTTGGCATAGGGCAATCAGGTCGACCCCCCATTTAGCAAAAGGCCATGGTGCTATTACGTAATGTAGCTCTCCAGGTGGGAGGTTTACGTTGGGAGCAAATCGCTGACATTTGTCACATTTCCTAGCGAATTCCAAGGTGTCTTTTTTCATGGTTGGCCAGAAGTAACCTTGTAGCATAATTTTATGCGCCAGGGATTGTCCCCCGGCATGATTCCCACATATCCCCTCGTGTACTTCTTCCATGGCTCTTAGTGCCTCTTCATCATTTAGGCATTTGAGCAGGGGTATAGAATATTCTCGCTTATATAGAACGCCGTTTGTAGGTATAAAACAATCTCGTCCATCCATGATGATTTGAGGTTGGTAGCCATATGGACACCCTCAGGTTCCTCAATAGCTGGGTAGCAAATTCTTCCTACCAGGATACTATCGAATCTTTCGATCCCTTTACTGGTAGCTAGACGAGCCATGGCTTCAGCATATCCATCCTGACTTCAGGGAACTTGCTCGATTTGGACATGCCCAAAATTCTTTAGCTTCTGCTTAACGAGTCGGAGGTACTTGTCCATCCTCCCCTCCCTGGCTTGGTAAATGTTGTTGACTTGGTTTACTACCAATTGAGAGTCTCTATATGCAATTAAACTGTTGATTTTCATTTCCTCGCCCATACGTAAGCCAGCGATGAGGGCTTCATATTCAGCCTCATTGTTGGATGCATTGAAGTCAAAAGGTAGTGCTTCACAAAACACTTGTTGGTTTAGGCAGATTAGTACTACCCCAGCTCCAGTTTTTCTC